GCAAATAGAGCCACATTGGCTTGAGCATTTAATCATATCTTTGTGCTTGTTATTGATTTAGCCATTGTTCTGCATCATTATCTTCCCACCAACAAAGCCCCTGCAATTATTTTTCACTTCCTTACTCAAGCACCAAATTATGAAACAAGGGCAGACACTCATAATGGGTCCCCGGGGTAAATTACCGGACGGTGATTGCTTGCTTGCTCTCTCTCATTGCTTCCAGACAACAATTTCTCCCACAATCATTTACTGGAACACATTCAGGACAATTATGGCATGCGAGTGACCTGGATGGTCTCAACGTTACCTTAGAAAGTGCTTTGCTTATGATGAGCCACCTGCTGTCATCTCAGCTGCCAGCTCGGAAAGGCAACGTGGCGCCACCAAAGAGGAAGCTTTTCAACTTTCCCTTCAATCAGAGCGCTGAACAGCTTGGTGTCATCAAACATCAGCATGCTCCCTTCTGCTCTGGGGACTATGGATAAATGCAGGTGGCTCTTTTAGGAAGTGACTGTTCTGACCCCGGCTTCCCAAGATCGTGAAGCAGACTTCTTGTCCGGATAAAACCCCTTTTATTTAGGTTAAAGTGAATTCTTCTCCAGCAAAGTCCCAGCAAACAGTCTTTCATGAGATTTCACAACTACAGACCTTTATCAGGCTTGGAGGGTTGCCAGGCCAATAGCTTCCAAACACCATGCCTTAGCAGCAATTACTTCACTAGGATTCAGGAACAGATCTTCACCCTAATCAATTGAACTAATTGTCTCCTGCAAACACTACTCTCCTTTCACTCCTCTTTAATCCCTATGGGAGGGGGCATTCACCATCCACCCGAGCCTTTACTCCCAAGTCGACCTTTGTTCCTTAACTGTTCCCTTCTTCTGGCAGCTATGCACATGCACGCATCAGGAACAGACTCCAGCTGTTTTTCTGCCCCATTGATCTCCGACTCCGAAGGCAGCTGATAACTGTCAGACGCCCCTGCCCCCATCTCTACCTCTGATGCAGAGCCCTCGTCAGAGCCTTCCCCAGACTCCAGGACTGGCCCATGTTCCTCTCCAACCTCCTTACTGTCCGAGTCTGCCACCAGCTCCGCTGGCCACTGGTGGGCCACAGCAATGACCACATTCTTCATGATGGATGAGACAACTTAGTAAGCTGCTTTTCTAAGCTGTGGTGACTTCATAACTGATAAGAAACCTGGAGGATGCAAGGCAAGGAGAAATACTTACATTAGAACAATGCAGTACAGGTAGTTCTCAACTTATAGCCATAGCTGAACCCAAAATGTCCATTGCTAAGCAAGACAACTGTTCAGGGAGTTTCACTCCATTTTATGACCTTTTTGTCACAGTTGTTAAGTAAAAGAACAGTGCATCCAGTTTTGCTCACCACATTACAAAAAAGATGTTGGGAAAAATGCAAAGAAGAGCAACTAAGATGATTGAAGGCCTGGAGATAAAAATTTAGGAAGAACGGTTTGCAGGATTTGGATTTTGGCTAATGTAGAGAAAAGAAGGAGTAGGCAGGACATGATAAGAGTATTCCAATATTTGAGGGGCTGCCACAAAAAAGAGAGGGCCAACCTATTTTCCGAAGCACCAGAAGGCAAGACAAGAAGCAATGGATGGAAACCCATCAAGGAGAGACCCTTTGTAGGAAGCAATGCTGTTTGCTATGTTTGTATTAAACTTTGAAGCTCTGTGTGGACTTTGTACTCCGTTTGGCTTTTTATAGTGAATTTGGCACTTTAGTTGTTGTCAGCAATTCAAAGGAGATAAAGGCAGGTGCTTATCTCAAGAAACTATTTGGGACTCATTGCAGGCTGGGAATGAACAGGATTCCCAGCATTGAAATAAAGAGTGGTGTTGTTTGGACTAAGTGTGTGATTAATTACAGTCTCAGGAAGCCTTGGTCAGAACACCTTGGCAGTTTCTTGAGTGGGGTATTGTTTACCGGATTGTTGGTCTGATGTTAACCTTGGAGTTCATCTATGCTGATCTGGGTGCTGATGGCTGGTGGAGAAGTGCTGGGTTCTTTTTGTTCCCTTTTGGGCTGGTTGATTGTCTCTTTTGCACAGTCTATAGATGTTGTTAATGTCTCTGTCTCTGTCAGGTTTCCAGGTAATAGACCCATATCAAGCAAAATCCGAGGCAGGTAGATTCCTCAAAGAATCGCCTTATTGGATATATCATATTGGCACAGATCTGATGAAAACTGACTCTGAAGGTTCCCATGGTTTTCATCTAATTAAAAATAAAAGTTTGTCACTTTCTCAAAACAATCAGCCACATGGTCCAATCACGGCTCCATCTGGTTGCCTGGTGACATCACTCCTCCTTCCTCCAACCAGGTGTAAGAACGTCCTTGGTTCCCAAGAGAAAGTACATTTTGTTTTGGCTACAAAACCCCAGCTATCTCAAATCCCCCCTCCCTATCCCTCAGCTCCAGCGTGGCAACACTGAAGCTCCAAGATTGACACTGTCAATCCTGAAGGTCAGCTTCAGGATTGACAGTGTCTATTGATGGCTGATTTGTCAGAGTGCCAGGCTTCTAGAAATTCTCCTCCAGTTTGGACTTGGCCTAGTCTAGGATGTGGTTGTTGTTGATTTGCGATGGCATGTTAATCACAGTGGTTAGGGAATGACTTCCCTTGAATTTTGTGGGAGGCCTGTGCCTCAATGCTTCAAGCACATTTTTGGACTATTCTACAAAAAATCCAATTTTTGTTGGTTTTCTTTCCTATGATTTCCGTTCAGATCAACTATTCTCCTAATGATTTCTATCACTGTCCAAAAAGTCCCGTGTGTGTGTGTGTGTGTGTGTGTGTGTGTGTGTGAGAGAGAGAGAGAGAGAGAGAGAGAGAGAGAGAGAGAGAGAGAGAGAATACAATTTGTTGAAGTTTGAAGGAACAGCAGGGAGATAAGATTTTCCTGACAAATTAGGTGCCAGAGATTCTTATACTAGATGCATTCAAACACATGGTCGATCAATTATTTTTATTATTTTTCATTCTTGGCAAAATTGAAGGAAAGGTGATGGCAAAGTTTTCCCTGCGTGGATAAAGACTTACAGATTTCAGATGAATAAGCTCAGAGATATTTGTACAAAAGCTTCCTTTACAGGGTTTTTCCCCCTCCTCCTTAAGCTGTTAAAAGATGTGGAGAAATTGCGGGCCAGGAAATGGCTTGGAAGCAAGCACTGAAGCCATCGACAAGCAGTTACTGGTAGGGAAACGACAGTCTGGCTGTTCGAGAGAAAAAGGGACAGGAAAGAAAAAACAGAGAGAGAGAAAATCTGGGCAAGGAACTGTGTGTTGAAACATAAACATCACTTTTGCAGCTCCCAGAGTATCCTGGGGTCTTTTCTTACTTCTTTAGGGGTTCTAAGCTTTGCAGATACTTAAAGGATGCATAGCAGCCATTATTCATTGGGCTTCTCCATTTTGGCAATATGGCTGACACACAACACCAAACTTCAGTGGGTAGAATTTGTTCTGTGTTACGGAATTTTTGTGGCAGCCTTGGATTCTCTTCTTTTAGAGTCTCAACTATTATAGGTAAACAATGCTAGTAACAGACATTTATAATGCCTCGGTAAAACCATACTTGCAATACACTGCATCCCGTTTTGGTCACCATGATATAAATAAAATGGTGTTCAGACTCTGGAAAAAGTGCAGAGAGGAAAAACAAAGATGATTAGGAGGCTGGAAGCTAAAACTTGTTCTGCCCTTTTGCTTCTCTGATGAATGATGTTTTTGATCCTGATTTGCTTAAGTAATAATTAAAAAGTTAATGTTAAGAACCGTGGTGGTGCAGTGGTTAGAATGCAGTATTGCAGGCTAATTCTGCCGACTGCCAGCAGTTCAATCCTGACCGGCTCAAGGTTGACTCAGCTTTCCATCCCTCCAAAGTCAGTAAAATGAGGACCCAAATTGTTGGGGGCAATTGACTGATTTTGTAAACTGCTTAGAGAGGGCTGCAAAGCACTATGAAGCAATATATAAGTCTAAGGGCTATTGCTATTGTTATTGACTGGCCTGAGTCAAAATGTTAAATGGCATTATGCAAAAAGAAAAGACCATTCATCTAACTGGAATTTGCTATGGGCCATAATGGCTAAGGATGCTGTAGTAGGGGTGGCTTATTAATTGATTAGTCTTATGACTGTATCAAAGAAAATAAACATAAAATACAAGATCTAATTCTAGGGTGAAATTGGTAAAACAGAATACAGAAATAAAAATCCTGTGTTGTAATCAAACATTTGGAAAAATACATCACCTTTATCTATATTATATTATGTGTGTGTGTATGTAAATATGTATATATGCATTAATCCCAAACTGTTCACTATCCTGAGTTCTTAGCTGAATCGCCTTAACTATAAACTTAGCAGTTTTTCTCACAATATATAAAGGACTCCCTACGGTTTTTACTCCTCTTGTCATTGGCAACTATTGGGATAGTGCTCCTCTGTATGTCAATGCCATTGAGGCAGCACTGTCCGAAGACATTTCTGTGGTCATGTGGCCCAGGATTATGCCACATGCACTGTTACCTTCCCACCAAAGTTGTACCTATTTATCTACTTGCATTTGCATGCTTTCAAATTGCTGGGTTGGAAGGAGCTGCAGCGAGGGACGGGAGCTCAACCCATCACATGGAGCTCAGATCTCAAACAGGCATCTTAACCACTAAGCCACCTCACAACATATAAGGCTGCTGGAAATGTAGCATCTAAAACATGCTAGGCAATGTGCTTCTGGTTTATTTATGTGACTATAATTACAATGTATTGAATTAAGTGTTATTCATTTAAGACTCTGTAATATGGGTATTTAAGTTTCTCTTTTCAAGAATAACTGGAGACCATCACTAGATTAATGCTTATTTCCTTTTTTCATGATTATTTTTGTACAAAAGTAACAGTCACGAACCTTTAAATTAATTTGTTCTTGTTCTTCCTGGTCCTCTTTACAGCAGACTTAACTGTGTCCTTTTTTCTGTCCCAGGCACATTGTTGTCTGTGGCCACATCACTTTGGAAAGTGTGTCCAATTTCTTGAAGGACTTCCTACACAAGGACAGGGATGATGTCAACGTAGAAATTGTCTTTCTGCATAAGTAAGTACCTTTATGTCACTACTCACACAAAAAGGGTGAGTTGGGACCCTAAAATTTAGAGAAGATAGTTGAAGTCCACATATCTGAAAGTTGCTAAGGTTGAAGAACATAAACTAGAAGATGAAACACCAATAAATCGAAGATATGAAATCTGCAGAAAACTCTGGATTTTCCAGTTCCATAATTCCTCTTATCAAGTCTACAGTTGGGTCAGATTTGATATAAGGTTAATGAAAAACTTCAATAAATAGCAACTTTAAGATATGGAGACTTCAGCTTTGTGCGGCTAGCTGGGGAATTCTGGGAATTGAAGTCTACATGTCTGAAAGTTGCTAAAGTTGAGGAACACGAAACTAGAAGATGCCACCTGTTGAGGCCATTGGGATGTTGGATTCAGTGGCAATCTCAGCAGGATGCATTGAGAAGATGAGGATGTCCAAATTGAACTCAAGGCATGAAGTAGGTGGGCATCCATTCTTCCTGATTATTTGATCCATAAAGCAAATTATGCATCAACCATAACCTCTGGTTTTTAAAATAAGAAGAGCTGCATTCAAATCCTTTTCAATAATGGAACTCATTCTATTTCCATGAAAAGGGGTGTGTGTGGGGGGGTCACCATTCTTCAGATAAGTTTGATACATAACATTGTCACAAAAATAACATTGTTAATGGTAGCACTAAACATATACAATATCCAGGTGGGTTTTACTTGGAAGAAGGATTAGTGGGCTAAAATGCACGACTCAAACCAGATTGAGGGCTCCTTGGTGCTCTCTGAGCTTGGTTGCAGGTGTTTCAACAGTACACCGGTGATGGTATCTAGTTTGGTAATGAAACATCTGCAAGGAAAACTACCAAGCTCAGAAAACCACCAAGGACCCCACAATCTGAAATCTGCTGTCAAATTCTGGGGGAAATATTTTCTCTTGCCCCACTTGCAAACAAGGCTAGTAATAGACATTGTTTTTGGATTCTGTAGTTTATAATTATTTAGCTTTTGGAAAGTGTTTGTAATAGTCTGAGTACCTCTTTTGAAAAAAGACACCCTACAAATATTTCCGCTGAGAGCACAGAATATGCCTTTTTGTATTGTCCTTTGACTCATAAGTACATTTTAATGACATATTTAACCAGGCAGGGTATATAAAATAGGGCAAGAATGCATTGTCTGCTTTTGGATTTGGTCCTGAATATAATTAAAGGCACAAACCATTTAACTAAAACGAATGGATGAATATGAGATTTCCATATGGTTGTAGTGGATAATTGTATTTTTTATTATGCCATTCATAGACCTTTCCTACAAACCAAGATGAGTGGGTTGTATTTGGCCTGATATTTTAAATGTCATAATCATGGAGGGACATATCTATGGAGATTCTCAGTCATCCAGGATTGTTCCAAAGGTGCCTTTTCACGAGGCAACTGGACTTTCTTGGGTTTTCTTTGAAGACGTTTCACTTCTCCTCCAAGAAGCTTCTTCAGCTTCTTTAGAACTTCAGTTCTGAAGAACTTCAGAGCTGAAGAAGCTTCTTGGAGGAGAAGCAAAACGTCTTCAAAGAAAACCAAGAAAGTCCAGCTGCCTCTTGAAAAAGGGGCATCTTTTCTTAAGCCATTAAAAGGTCTAATTAAAGTTGTGTACGCTTTCAATGCCTTATACCTTTGAAGTAAATGATAAGATCTCATTAACTTACTTGAACACTTTTGAGCTTTTTTTATGAACTGAAAAAAAGATGCTCTAAGTCGTCAAATCAAATCTGTGTTATGCTCACAGTCCAACATAACTGTTTCTTTAATGGAACTCAGTGTGTCTCTTAAAGCAGTCGCAATATACTGCATTTTCCAGACTCGGTTGGCATGCTGAAGAAAAGTTGACTGGCCTTAGTGAATAGAGTTATGTTTTGCTGAGATTCCAAGATCTTTAGAGTTTAGTTTATTGATTAGCTCATAGGCCACATTAAAGTGAAGAGTTCCAAACACAAATTATTACTAAAATCCAATAAAAAAACAATTTAAAATGAAATTGGATCTTTGCTGAGATTTGAAAGAATACCTCCAAACCATTTTTAAAGCATGCTTTGTGTGACTTTTGGGTTTAGAGGCTGAAAATTATTTTAGGATTCTTAAAGGGGTCCCAATGGGAAAATTTGAATAGGATTCTTCGAACAAGGAGAATATAATCAAGGTCTTGTTAAATATAGTCAAGATCTTAAATATAGTCAAGATCTTGTTGATGATCCAAGCTCTGTAAAGGACCTTGGAATACTCATCTCTAATGATCTAAGTGCTAGAGCCCAATGTAACTACATAGCCAAAAAGGCATTAAGAGTTGTTAACCTAATCCTACGTAGCTTTTTCTCTGGTAATATCACACTACTAACTAGAGTATACAAAACATTTGCTAGACCAATACTCGAATACAGCTCATCGGTCTGGAACCCACATTACGTATCTGATATAAGCACAGTTGAGATAGTCCAGAAATATTTCACAAGAAGAATTCTCCACTCCTCTTCTTGTTGTAGAATACCTTATGCCACCAGACTTGAAATTCTAGAACTAGAAAACCTTGAATTACACCATCTTTGGTCTGATCTAAGTATGGTATATAAAATCATACATTGCAATGTCCTACCTGTCAATGAATACTTCAGCTTCAACCATAACAACACAAGAGCACACAACAGATACAAACTCAAGGTTAACCGCACCAAGCTTGATTGCAGGAAATACGACTTCAGCAACAGAGTGGTCAATGTCTGGAACCCTCTACCTGACTCTGTGGTTTCTTCCCCAAACCCCAAAAACTTTAACCTTAGACTGTCTACTATTGACCTCACCCCTTTCCCAAGAGGGGGCGTGCATGAGCGTACCAACGTGCCTACCATCCCTGTCCTATTGTTTCTTTTATTTTTCTTATATGTATTCATGTATTCATAGCTATGCATATATTTATACCTATTATCTTGCAAGCGATTGACAAATCAAAATAAATAAATCAAAATAAAATAAAAAGAGAAGAGTCAGCTATGCTTCCAAGGAACAGACAGTTTTAGGGTAATGTACTGGAAATGATCCATGGAGTCTTCCCATGAGGGATGTGTGTGTATGTGCGTGTGTATTTGTTTATATCCAGGCTTTGGCATTTACAAAAATAACTCAAGGCAGTGAACATATCCAACCCACTTTCTCTCCAACAGCCCGGTGTGGTGAGTTGAGCAGAGAGAGAGTGACTGGCCCAAAGTCACTCAGCTGGCTTTTCATAGCTAAGGCAGGACTAGAACTCAAGATCAGCTGGTTTCTATCCCAGTGCCTTAACCATTAGGCCAAACAGGCTTGCCGTTGCCTCTGATCAATTCATTATAAGCACCACTATAATTGGACCCAGTATATGAGTGTATAATGTCCATTTATGTGTGTGTGTGTGTGTGTCAGTGATGATATTCAATTTTTTTTTACTACTGGTTCTGTGGGTGTGGCTTGGTGTGCGTGGCAGGGGAAGGATACTGCATCTCCATTCCCTCCCCACTCCTGGGGGAAGGTTACTGTAAAATCCCCATCCCCTCCCCACCCCACTAACCTGCTTTCCAGGTCCGTTCTCCTGTGCAGGACAACCAAAGAAGACCCAGCTGATGAGCTGGGACTCGGAAAGTGGAGAATAGATGAGGTGGGTCCAGTCAGAAGTGACATTGGCCGGTTCTCCGAACTACTCAAAATTTCTACTACTGGTTCTCCAGAACCTATCAGAACTGGCTGAATACCACCTCTGGTGCATGTGTGTGCGTGTGTGTGTGTGTGTGTGTGTGTATAGCAGAATAAACTTAATTCACCTTCTTCAGTAAAGTTAAGCACTTGTATAATGTGCCTTTGAGTGCAACATCTTTCAAAATACATCCACTCCATTAATTCCAGAGAAAAAAGGGAGGACACAATTGAAATTCTGAACATAATCAACTTCCCTAATCCCTTTTTAAACCCTTCTGACCTGGGGATGATATTTGGATTAAAGTGAAAATGTTCTGAAGAGCTCGTAGCTTGCAAAGACGATGGAGATGAAAATGATCATGTACAAAATAGATGTTGCGAGCAGCTGCTAAACCTCTTAACCTTTTGGAACTATTCAAGAAATAAGTTTTGTCCCCCCCTCTCTCTCTCCCCCCCCCTCTTTCTTTTTAAATTTAGTATCTCCCCTAACCTTGAATTGGAAGCTCTTTTTAAACGACACTTCACTCAGGTGGAATTTTTTCAGGGTTCAGTTCTCAATCCGCATGACTTGGCTAGAGTAAAGGTAAGGAAGGGTTTCTTTTCTATTTTCTACCCTAGCATTTGGAGAAGGGATTGAACGGGTGGGGTCTAAAACGCCAAACTGATTTTAAAACCCCATTCCATTTCCCCAAAAGAAAAATGAGAGGTCTTATCCTGTAAAGAAGTTGAGAAAACTCAACACTGTTTTTTCCATTTCCATGACAGAATGGGACAGCTCACTGTAGGACATCAACTCAGAACAATTTGACAATTCAATTTAATTATTTAAAGTAAATAAAAAAAATATTTTACTTCTTGTCATTCACATTTTGTGCTGTCTTTCCTTTGCATCTTTTCTTTAATAATTCTATTCCATTTTTTTAATGTTAGTATAACTCTTGTCCCGCAATGAGATGGCCATGATGAGTTGGCCATGTCAAGTGGGCTGTGGCAAGTTGGCTGTGGCAAGTTGACCCTGTCAAGTTGACCATGTCAAGTTGGCCGTGGCAAGTTGGCTGTGGCAAGTTGGCCGTGGCAAGTTGGCCGTGGCAAGTTGACCATGGCAAGTTGACCATGGCAAGTTGGCTGTGGCAAGTTGGCTGTGGCAAGTTGACCATGTCAAGTTAGCTGTGGCAAGTTGACCATGTCAAGTTGGCTGTGGCAAGTTGACCATGTCAAGTTGGCTGTGGCAAGTTGGCCACAGCAAATTGGCCACGGCAAGTTGGCCATGGCAAATTGTCATAGATCCTTTCCATGGTGCTTTGGCAGAAATCCTACCACTCTAGCCATCAAACTATAACAATGGGTTGAAGCTTAAGTAACCAGAAGTCCCTTCAAGTTCAAATTGGCTCAGAAGAAATGTCACAAAATTATTAGCTTTCTGGACTATTAATCCTTCTGGAATAATGAGATCCTGTTTTATAATATGATTATTTCAGAAAAAAGAAGATGGATAATGCAGCAACATGCAAACAAGTTTAAGACTGAAGTAGCCACAGTTCAGAATTCTGCTTTTATGAACAGGCTAATCATTGCGAATATAACCCTTTTCTTATAGAATTTCAAAAGAAAAAGTCAACAGGCCCATGGCTGGTCTCTCAGTCCAACCACAAAGCTTGAAGTCTAGAACTTGAAGACTATATGTGTATATAAAATAGAAGCTGGAAGTTGTTAGGCCTTGGGCACAATGTTATTCACCCCTGGCAACTTCCAGATGTGTGAACTTTGGCACCCAGGAGTCTCAGTAATGGCCAAGCTGGCTGGAGACCTGAATCCACACATCTGGAGGCTGCTAAGGTTGAGCTACAGGCATGCTTTTCTTCATAACATCTGGAGGTTGAAAGGAACCTATGAATAATAATGTTCACTTGCATGAAATAATTCGTAGGTCTGCCATTCAAATCTACATGTAATCTCTTAGCCCAGATTCCATAAAAAGCCAAATACGTTTTGGGGGGAAGAAAAAAGTTGCTTTTTTTGTGTGTTTTATGGTTTCTCCTTTGATGTCCAGATAGAGTCAGCAGATGCTTGCTTGATCCTTGCCAACAAATACTGCGCAGATCCAGATGCTGAAGATGCTTCTAATATCATGAGGTAAATTTAGATGGAGCACGATTGGTATTGGATGTTCCTTTTTGAGTTTGCCAAATATGGCTGTGAATTGAGGGAATATCAGACACTGCACATCAAACTTGGTTTCTGGGGAGGATGTGAAATGGTGGGGCTTATGCAGAGAGGAATTAAAAATAGAACACGGATGGAATATAATGCCTTGTTCCTGGAAAGAACACAAAAGAGCCTCATTTTGTGGTTTCTTAGGAAAGTTGGTTATCTTTGAGAGCTACCTAGATAAGCTAAGATGTCAGATTCATGGAAGTGTGGTGTTAGAAGAGTCTCAAAAGCCAACAATCTTCCTTAATTGAGGAATTCAAAGGAAAGTGTCCCAGATAGATAGGTATCTGGATGAGGTCATACAATCAAGAGCTTCGGTTGCCAAAAACGGAGGATAAATCACCACATAATAGCATTATGGTTTCTTGCTGATTATCTTAAGACTCCAAGAAGCTTGAAAATTGAAAGCCTTGTAGAAGAGCCACATGAAGTAGTCCTTTGATTTACAGCAGTTCGTTTAGTGACCGTTCAAAGTTACAACGGCGCTGAAAAAAGTGACTTACGACCAATTTATAATCAATGTAGAGAAAAGTAAAGTCTTACACTTAGGCAAGAAAAACCCAAAGGACACATACAGACTGGGTGAAACCAGGTTTTATAGCAGTAACCATGAGAGGAATCTTGGAGTCTTAGTGGACAACCAGTTAAATATGAGCTAGCAGTGTGCAGCAGCAACCAAAAAAGCTAAGATGGATACAATCAAGATCAAGGGAGGTACTAATACCACTCTATAAAGCCCTTGTAAGGCCACATCTAGAATACTGCATCCAATTTTGGTCACCACACTATAAAAAGATGTCGAGACTCTAGAAAGAGTGCAGAGAAGAGCATCCAGGATGATGAGGGGATTGGAGGCTAAAATATATTATGAATGGTTACAGGAACTGGGCATGGCTAGTCTAATGAAGACAAGGACCAGGAGAGACAGGATAGCAGTCTTCCAATATTTAAGGGGCTGCCATAGAGAGAAGGAAGAGGTCAAGCTTTTTTCCAAAGCACCTGAAGGCCAGACCAGGAACAATGGGGGAAACTGATCAAGGAGAGATTCAACCTAGAAATAAGGAGAAATTTTCTGACAGTAATTGATGGAACAGAAGTTGCCTTTAGAAGTTGTGGGAGCTTCATCAGTGGAGGTTTTCAAGAAGAGACTGGACTGTCAACTGTCAGAAATGGTGTAGGGTCCCTTGCTTGGGTGGGGGGCTGGATTAGATGACCTACAAGGTCCCTTCCAACTCTGTTAATCTGCTACTTTCTGATTTTCATACTTCTGACCATGGGTAGCACCCCCATGGTTATGTAATCAAAATTCAGACACTTGTCAAGTGGTTCATATTTTTGATGGTTGCAGTGTCCCAGGTTCAGGTGATCAACTTTTGTGAACTCCTGAGAAGCAAAGCTGATGGGGAAGCCAGCTTCACTTAACAATGATGTTACTCATTTAACGACTGCAGTAACTCACTTAATAACTGTGGCAAGAAAGGTCACAAAATGAGGCAAAACTCCCCTAACCAATGTCTCACTTAATAGAATACATTTGGGGTTCAATTGTGATCATAAGTCAAGGAGGACCTGCATTAATCTACCATAGCCAAAAATCAGGAAGAATCTCATAGTACCTTGTTCCCTAACATATTTTATCTGGGCTTTTTGAAGCTGTCTACCAAGAATAAACAAGAAACTTTTTCCAAATTAAAATGACGAGAATTGCTTTTTATCCCCTTTTCAGAGTAATTTCTATAAAGAACTACCACCCAAAAATAAGAATAATCACTCAGATGCTGCAGTATCACAATAAGGTAAGGAATACTGTGATAATTTGCCATCAACATTTTCTGATAAAAGATTTCTCCAATAAATTGCCCAAGAAGACACTAGAATAGAGACATGAAGACATAATATTTAAGATAAGAGTCATGGTGGTGCAGTGGTTAGACTGCGGTATTGCAGGCTAACTCACTGCTCAATCCAGGAGTTCGATTCTGAGCAGCTCCAGTTTGACTCAGCCTTCCCTCCTTCCGAGGTCGGTAAAATGAGGACCCAGATTGTTGGTGGCCACTATGCTGACTTTGTGTGTCGTATGTGGGATGGACAGCTATTTTCAGGGGAGGGAAATGCAAAATTTATTTCTCATTCCTGAAGTGGTCCATGCTGAACATCTGGTCTGTGTCATCTTGGAGAAATGTAAAGAAAAAAAAAAAACAATTAAAAACAAAAACAAAACAATGCAGAAAAAAAAACAATTTCTACCAACCTGCCTTCCATGGAGGACCTGTATCCTGCACGAGTCAAAAAGAAGGCTGTGAAAATATCTACAGATCCCTCATATTCTGGACATAAATTGTTTCAACTTCTACCCTCAAACCGATGCTGTAGGGCACTGCACACCAGAACAACTAGACACAAGGACAGTTTTTTTTCCCCATGTCATCCCTTTGCTAAACAACTATTTCCCACAACGCTGTCAAACTAATTATTAAGATTGTAGTACCATTATTCTTCTCATCCTTCCTGTTACCTATCTCCTCCTACTTATGATGATAACCTTGTTGCTTGTATCATTTTGATTTGTATTGTTTTATTTAGTTTCCTAGTATGATTTAATTGCTTATTTAGTGTCCTATAACTATCACTAAGTGTTATATCTTATGATTCTTGATGAATGCATCTTTTATGTATACTGACAGCTTATGCACTGTAGACAAATTCCTTGTGTATCCAATCACACTTGGCCAATAAAGAAATTCTATTCTGTTCTGTTCTATTCTATTCTATTCTATTCTATTCTATTCTATTCTATTCTACTCTACTCTACTCTATTCTTTTTTCCTCATTCTTTTTCATTCTTTCCCTATTCTATTCTATTCTATTCTATTCTATTCTATTCTACTCTATTCTTTTTTCCTCATTCTTTTTCATTCTTTCCTTATTCTATTCTTTCCTTATTCTATTCTATTCTATTCTATTCTATTCTATTCTATTCTATTCTATTCTATTCTATTCTATTGAAGCAACCTATAACTAAGGAGAAATTTCCTGACAGAACAATTAATCCAGAAGTTATGAATGCTCCAACACTGGAGGTTTTTAAGAAGAGATTGGACAATCATTTGTCTGAAATGGTATAGGGTTTCCTGCCTGAACAGGGGGTTGGACTAGAAGACCTCCAAGGTCCCTTCCAACTCCTTTTCTATGCTATGCTATGCTATTTCCATTCCATTCCATTCTCTATTCTATTCTATGTCCCCATGCTTGAATGTTCTCCCTGTGGAAAGAATCACATTCTCAACATGGGAAGTCCATGAACCAAGTTGTGATAGTTATTATATTCTTTAACTCCCAGAGCAGAGTTAGTTTTCCAAATAATGAAAAAAGAAAACCGCACTTCAATCAGAACAGGACCACTTGGTGCAGCCAACTCTCGCTGCAAAATGAAAAACGAAAGATATCCCCTTCCCTTTACTCCCCACCCCCTCTTGCCTTCCCCTGAGATGATAAGATGCATAATCAAAGATCTGAGGGATCAGGGCTGACCTGTGTGTGTGTGTGTGTGTGTGTGTGTTTGTTTGTTTTTTCTGTTGCAGGCCCATCTGCTGAATATTCCAAGCTGGAACTGGAAGGAAGGCGATGATGCCATATGCCTTGCAGAACTGAAGCTGGGATTCATTGCCCAAAGCTGCCTGGCACCAGGCCTATCGACCATGTTGGCAAACCTCTTCTCCATGAGATCATTTATAAAGGTAGCATCCTGTTTTGGGAGGGGGTATTTAATGGGTTTCGGTTTGTCAAGGGGCCATGGCTTAAACTCAAAACTCAGAAAAGAATCCATCAAAATTAAAACATAGAACAATATACAGCAAAGGGAAAAAAAAAAAAAACTTTGCTGTTACAGATTGGGCAAGGGGCCAGGTTCTTTCCTAATTATATTTTTATTTGGCAGATCCATGGGCCATTAAAGATTGTCCGTAGCACAATCTTTCTGTCTCTTTATTCCTGTTAGATAAACCACATGTTTATCAACAGAGAAATCCTTTGCAGTTAAAAATATGGTCTCTATCCAACCCATATGGCAACAAATCACCCACAAGGGGGAAGGCATAATGGTTTTCCTTTCTCCAACGTTTTTGCCTCCATCCATTGGCTGGGTATCTCAGATTGCAATTATAAAGGTGGAACACACATCTGTACCGAAGTCCAAAGCTCCAATGAGAATCATTCATCTATTCACTTTATTTCATTTCATTCAAGAAGTCCCCTGGGATTTATGAGAAATTCAAACTACTGTAGTTCAGTAATGCTTAAATGTTCTCAAATGTTTGTACCAGTTTGTTCTCTTAGTATTAATTTGGTCTGGGTTTTTTTCTCTTTCTTTCTTTCTTTCTTTCTTTCTTTCTTTCTTTCTTTCTTTCTTTCTTTCTTTCTTTCTTTCCACACTATCCAATTTGGGAATTTGGGTCGATTCTTTTAGAGTCGAACGTGATCCCATGAAATGAACTGTAGACTTAGAAGGTCATTCTTGGCAGGCTTTGATAACATGGCTCAGCGGTTAAAGATGCTGAACTTGAAAACTGTCAGTTCAGGTTGGAGACCCTAGCACCGTGCAACGGGGTGAGTTCCCACTCCTTGTGCCAGCTCCTGCCCACCTAGCAGTTTGAAAGCATGTTAGTGTGAGTAGATAAATAGGTACCACTTTGGTGGGAAGGTAACAGGATTCCATGCAACTTTGACATATATACCCATGCTGGCCATTTCACCAGAGGAATCATCTTTGGACTACATTGGCTCTTTTGGCCAAGAAATGGAGATGAACACTACACCACAGAGTCAGAAATGACTGGACAGGGAAACATTCACCATTACCTTTAGTGTCAACACACAGTACACAACATGGAGCACAATACAATGAGCAACAACTGAGAAGAGCAGCAAAAATGATCAAGGAACGGGGGCTAAACTTTGCGATGAACGGTTGTGGGAACTAGGTATGTGTAAGAAAGAAGACAATTACAGGTGACAGGATTGCATCTTCCAATATTTGGTCCACTTATTCTCCAAAGCACGTGACGAAAATGTTAATGGATGGAAGGTAACAAAGAGAGATCCAACCAAGTTGGGGAAATTTCCTGACAGTGAGAACGATTAAGGAGTGGAACGACTTGCCACCAGAAGTTGTGGATGCTCCATCACTTGAGAAATTGGACAGCAACTTCTATACAGTGATGTAGGGTCTCCAACTTGAGCAAGGGGTTGGACTAGAAGACCTCCAATGTCCCTCCCAACCCTGTTATTCTGTGTTTTGTGAGAACAGCAGTAATTCACCAGGCAGAGGAAACAGTACAATCAGCAACAACTTGTGCTGAAAAGTGACATTTGCAAGGTTATTCTCCAGCCACACACCTCTCAGTATGTCTGAGAGGAGGTAGCAGCTCTCTCAATTTCTCACGTGTTTTCAGACTAACGAGGAAATGCTCCTGGCAGATGAACTCAGAGCATAAACCATCCAAAATATTTCCTTTGCGCTATGATCAGCAATGACACTGCACGCATTTCACTGATTATGGCTTAATTTTGCAACCCATGTATTTCATTAGCCTTTCTCCCCAACATTAGTATCAAAACAAACTTAGAACAACTCGCAGCAGAATATTTTGTTTCATTTTTGCCTTTAGAGTTAGCAGTTTTCATATGGAACCTCTTAGTTTGCAGCAAACCCACTCGCCCACACATGTACACACACAAAATAATAATGGCAAGATAACCCAAGTCCATGCCATTCTGTTGGGTATAATAACCAAACAGATTTCTGAAAATGCTTACTTAAAAAAAAAAACCACACACACACACAAACACACGGAGAGAAATGTAATGAGAATTCCCCAAACCCCAAAAACTTTAACCTTAGACTGTCTACTATTGACCCCACCCCTTTCCTAAGAGGTCTGTAGGGGGCGTGCATAAGCGCACCAACGTGCCTACCGTCCCTGTCCTATTGTTTCTTTTATTTTTCTTTTATTTTTCTTATATGTACCCATTTCATGTATTCATAACTATGTATACACTTATACTTATTATCTTGTAAACAATTGACAAATAAAATAAAATAAACAGACGGAATTTGCAATGCAAAAAAAATGCAAGAATTCCAAGCAGTGGATTCTGCTAGTTAGCAGAGTTCAAGATAAGTAGAGGTCCACTGTAGGTAAGTGGGAAAATTGGATCAACGTGGAAGCATTTTTAGGTTTGTCCAATGCTGATGGGGCAAGCCTTTTTGTATATAAACAGAGAACAGCCCTCTCTCTCTTCCAGCACTGATGATGTTACCTAATTTGGGTAGTAAAAACATCTGCAGGAAAGCAATCAAGCTCAGAGAGCACCAAGGACCTCAACGGATTGAATGTCATAAAGCGCTTTTCTCCATATCACATTATAGCTTGCTTTAACCCCATCGAACCGCATTGATCAAGCGATGATAATGTGATTATCGCACCATGCCGAGCTATAAATCATAGTTCATAAATCATAAATGTTGTGTTCGCATACCGGACTTAGCCAAAACCAAGCAAGGAAAGTTCAACATAATGCAACATTAACTAGCTTCAGTAATTTATGGGCTGCAGGCTTTTTTGATTTATTTATTTATGAGATACTTAGGATTGATTTGCTAAGTACAGGATGGGAGAACAAGCGAGGCCAGGAGAAGTAATCACAGACCTTAAATGAGCCAGAAAGGTTTGTAATAAATTCATAGGTGGTTTTAAAACACGGCACGAGAAACAATTGCTTGCTTTCCTTTTATGAAAACGCTGTGATTCAGCGCAACACTTAAAGTTAGCTGAGCCTTGTGATTGCTGATTTTGGATACATTAAATCCACTGTTTCTATACAATATATTGGCTAATAAAGTTGAAAGAACCACCGTGGATTTCATTTCAGCCCAAAGGTTTCAGCAATAAAACGTCGGTTTGTTTTGCTGAATAAACCCATTCAAGGATACTGTATTAAGTATTCTAGTTGAAGAAGATAGATGAGCTGGTTTCTTTTCAATATCCTGGACAGGCGGACCATATTTTATCACCATTTCATTTTGGGGTGTTTTTTTTGTGTGTGTGGATGTACTAGGAGTAGTTGATACAGAGTAATCCTTAAATGTCTTTGGATAGCTCGGAAGATGGATCTCTTCTGCTTGCAAGATGATAAACACTGCCAAACTTTATTGAAGTAAAAAAAGAAATCAGCTGTAAATAAAAAGTTTGAAAAGAATAGGTTACTTTAAAGTTTTTTTTTTTTTTATTAAACAGCACAATCATAAAAGTGAGTTACAGCCTTGTAATGTATGACAGGTAGAGATTCTCATCTGAAAATCATGTTCCGCTGGGACCTTGGGAATATCTGGGCTAGCATCTTGCCTGTAAATTCTGCAACTTTGCAAAAATGGGAAAAGGGAGCTCGTGGTTCAACCAAACACTGTGCACACTTTGAAAATAATTGTGTGCATTTGAGCAAAAATACAGTTGTTGTTTTTTTCCCAAGCATTGTAGAAACTTGGTTCTTGGGTATTATGTGAAGTTCCTAGAAAGGAATCTTATGTTCAGAATTATCCAATTATTACCCAATTATTCAGAATTATTCACGTTTCACAAATGTGTTGTTTATTAAATTTGCATTTTCCCAAAGCTCTTGCAATATATTAAAAAGGCAGATTAAAAATGCCCATATGATATTCTGCCAGCAATATTTTTCACAAAAGCTTTTTCTTAAATAGTGTCTGTCTTTCTTTCTTTCTTTCTTTCTTTCTTTCTTTCTTTCTTTCTTTCTTTCTTTCTTTCTTTCTTTCTTTCTTTCTTTCTTTCTTTCTTTCTTTCTTTCTCTCTCTCTCTCTCTCTCTCTCTCCCTCCCCCCCCTCTCTTTCTCTCTTTCTGCTTCTGGTCAATAACAAAAAGGAAAAGAGGAAAAGAAAAATTATAGAAACTGAACAGGCCTAATTCAGAATGTTTTTTTTTAAGTTAAATATAAGTACCAACCTTGATTTCCTGAAATTAATTTGCGTTATTCGCAGATGTTTTGTATTAAAAATGCAGCTACCATTTTTCTTCTTCTTTCTTCTCCTTTCTAGATTGAAGAGGATACTTGGCAGAAGTACTACTTGGAAGGAGTAGCTAATGAAATGTACACAGAGTATCTTTCTAGTGCCTTTGTTGGTCTGTCATTCCCTGCTGTTTGTGAGTAAGTACTTTTGCAGCCATGCAGTCTCCAAGAGGTCTATGTCCTTAATCCTAACCCGATGGTTTGCTAAAATGCTGAAAAACAATAGCAATATTACTTAGACTTATATATCACTTCACAGTGCTTTACAGCCCTCTCTGAACAGGGCAAATAGCAATAGCAATAGCACTTAGACTTATATACCGCTTCACGGTGCTTTTACAGCCCTCTCTAAGTGGTTTACAGAGTCAGCCTCTTGCCCCCAACAATCTGGGTTCTCGTTTTACTGACCTCGGAAGGATGGAAGGCTGAGTCAACCTTGAGCCTGGTGAGGATCGAACTGCTGAACTGCAGGCATTAGTCAGCAGAAGTAGCTTGCAGAATTGCATTCTTACCACTGCTCCACCACAGTAAATAATAAGGGAAGAATTTCCTGACATCAAGAATGATGAAACAGTCATAGCCATCAATAGACACCTAGATGTTAACAACATCTATTTTGTTGTTGTTAGTTGTGAAGTCATGTCCGACCAATCACAACCCCATGGACAATGTTCCTCCAGGCCTTCCTGCCCTCTACCATCCCCCGGAATACATTTAAGCTCACGCCGACTGCTTCAGGGACTCCATCCAGCCATCTCATTCTCTGTCGTCCCGTTCTTCTATTGCCCTCAATCGTTCCCAGCATTCGGTTCTTCTCCAGTGAGTCCTTCCTTCTCATGAGGTGGCCAAAGTCTTTGAGTTTCCTCTTCAGGATCTGGCCTTCTCAAGAGCAGCCAGAGTTGATCTCCTCCAGGACCGACCAGTTGGATCGCGTTGCTGTCCAAGGGACTCTCAGGAGTCTTCTCCAGCACCAGAGTTCAAAGGCCTCAATCATTGGTGGAATTCAAAATATTTTACTATCGGTTCTATGGGTGCGCGCTAAACAACTTCACAGTTCTTAGCCCATTTAATCTTATTTAAACCTAGATAAAATATTTTTTTTATTATTAAATTGGGATAAAAGCCTTGTTAGGTATGACATATGTTGGGCGTTGAATTATAATTTTTATGCATACACACCTCTCTCTCTCACCTGTCGGTAACTGATCTGAAGATAAGAATACAACAGAGGTGGCTATACTAATTACATTTTTATACAATGATCGATTGGCCATTGATAAAATTTATGTTCCTTCCATTCCAGCACTTCAAAATTTCTCAGAGATTAGATAGTTGCTCTTTGAAGAAAAGGGATTTGGGAATCCTTAAAAAATTTAAAAATTCCATGTTTCTCATTGTTGTTTCCTTTGAGGCCAGTTTTTTTTTTTTACAGGGATGTTTTTCAAAAGCCACTTTTCCAACGTTTGATGCTTTAGAATCCCATTCTGCTAGTGAATTAAAAAGGGATTTGTAAATTAAGTCGTCATCATTGTAAGGGTTCACTATCGTTTGCAAAGGTTCATCATTGCCCCATTAACAGTCAACATTAACATTTCCCAGGGCTACTTATAAATTCCAGCAGATGTAATGCACAATGTCATCTGCTGAGCATAAAATTTGGAATGGCTTCTGTGACATTTTGCATGGTAACTGAATGTCTCCCAGGGGGCCCAATTGTCATGATAACAGCTCAATGGATGTTGAAAGTAAATCTTAAAACAATTGTTTTACATGGCCCTTGGAAAAAAACTTCCTGTGTTTATTACTATCAATTTTATCTAATGTTAGGTATCATCTTAAAAAGGAGGGGGTTTAATGAATTGTAATGAGTTCTTACCCTCAAATGTTGTAATACAGGCAGTCCTCAACTTACAACAGCTCATTTAGTGACCGATCAAAGTTACAGCAGACTGAAAACAGCGGCTTATGACCAGTTTTTACACTTGCGACCTTTCTAGCATCCTCTTGATCACGTGATGAAAATTCAGACACTTGGCAATTGATTCACATTTATGACAATTGCAGTGTCCCAAAGTCACATGATCTACATTCAGATGCTTGAGAACTGAGTCACATTTATGACAGTTGCGGCGTCCTGGGGCCATGGAAAGAGCCGTGGTGGTGCAGTAGTTAGAATGCAGTATTGTAGGCAAACTCTGCCTACTGCCAGGAGTTTGATTCAGCTCAGCTCAACTCATTGACTCAGACTTCCATCCTTCTGAGGTCAGTAAAAATGAAGAGCCAGACTGTTGACGGCAATAGGCTGACTCTAAACTGCTTAGAGAGGGCTGTAGAGGACTTTGAAGCAGTATATAAGTCTAAGGGCTACTGCTATTGCTATTAATTCAACCTCCCATCCTTCTGAGGTTGGTAGAATGAGGACCCAGATTGGACCAGAAGACCTCCAAGGACTTTTCCATCTCTATTCTGATCGACTCTATTCATCGAATAACTTGAGCTGGGGAGTGCTTCACATTTGATCTCTAAAAATATGCAACATCAACAAATGTGGCGTGTATCTGTTACACGTTACAATACTAATTTGTAGCTTAGATGTATAAACATCCGTCTTTGCTATGCACAGCTGGTTGAATATATGTTGCCAGGGGCATAATTTGCCAGTTCTCTGAACTGCACAGAAACATAACAACTGGTTCTATAGAACCAGTCTGAACTGGTAGAATCCCACCCCTGTCCTAAAGTGATAAGATCCCTACAGATGAGAGTGTGATTGGGAAAATATTAGAATGTGCAGAAATGAACAGATTAATCCTTGCTACAGAAGGGAAAGAACAAACTGAATATTATATGGCATGGGAGCTATTTTATGGATGGTTAGAGAATCAAAACAAAAGTGAGAAATAAATGGAGATGAGTGAAACAAACAATATATGTTAAGATAGAAATGTAAACAATATGATTATGATTATTAGTATGATTGGTAAGATTATTATACCTAATATACTATTATTTTCATTAGAAGATATGGAGGGAGAAATTAATAGAGTTATAATCAGGGGTGGGTTTCAAATTTTTTAACAACCGGTTCTGTGGGTGTGGCTAAGTTGGTGGGCGATAGCTTGGTGGTCATGTTATTGTCTGGGCGTGGCCAACTTAATATCATCCGCATCGAGGCACGCCTCTCCTCGCCTGGCCTCTCATGACTGTGGGGATGCTGCAACAGTCATAAGTGTGAAAAATGGTCATAAGTCAATTTTTCAGTGCCATTGTAACTTTGAATGGTCACTCCACACAACCAAAGTACCAGCAAAGGAGGGGAGGAAAAAACTCCAGAGACGTTCCTGAGATAGGAAGTCTAGTCCTGCCAAGAATTTAATAAGGGTTAATGGAGAGGCAGTTTCTGTAAGCAACACCAGAATGTTTCCTTCCTGCCTTCCTTACAGGATTAGGCCAGTAATTTCTTCTAACAACCGGTTCTCCAAACTGCTTAGAATGTTAACAACCGGTTCTAGCGAATAGGTGCGAACCGGTAGAATCCCACCCCTGGTTATAATGCTGATTATTACTATTGTAAGATTAGAGAATCACTATCAATATAATGAAGAATATAAATTTTGATTGTAATAGCATAGACACATTTGTACCAAGATGTCCGCTGTTTAATGGAAGATGATATGTTCTAGTTAAAAAAAAAGTAAAAACTTATTTAAAATATCCAAAATCAATAACATATTCTGGTTTTGTTCTCTTTCTGTCTGCTTTCTTTCTGGCAGGCTGGTCTTTGCAAAGCTAAAGCTTTTAATGATAGCCATAGAATACAAGTCGGAAAAACGGGAAAGCAGGTACGTAACTATCAGAACTTTTTCATAGTGCATCATTGATTATTTGGCCTGCTTGAATTTCTTTCTTTCTTTCTTTCTCTCATTCATTCTTTTCCTTTCTTTGTTTCTTGCTGTTTGGATGGATGTTTATATTTATAAAATAATTTTATATTCCAGGCACTCTTGACATCATGGTGCCCACTTTATATACCCAATCAAAAGGCAACTTCTTGCCTCAAATTCCAACAAAATTGATGAAATGTATGACTTTAATTTAAATTATCCTGAAACCAGTTCCTTGCCTTAAAGAATGTAAGTTCTCAATTAAAATTACACCTAAGCAGAGTTGATAATGACAACTTAGAATCCCAGTTCAGTTCCTCCTCCATAATTCTACATAACCCAATACAATCTAACCAGGTAAGTATTTCCAAGTGATGTATATAACTCTGTACATAGGGTTGCTGCAATGTGAATCCTACGCAAAGCTTGGCTTGAAAGACCACAGACAGAGTTAATATATATTAGATTAGGCAAACAGAGAAATGTATTACAGAAAAAATATTCCACCAGATCATTATTCAAGTTCAACAGGAGATTCATCTATGGCATTTTTGGTCCTTTCTTCAAGTTTGGAATATTTTTAGAAGACCATTTTAACTTAACTCCATTCCCCCTTATAAAAGATAATAATCCAAGATAGTTATCATTTCTACCAAAAGAACCTCCCAGCCTCTAAAAATGCAACATCTAACATACATGATGTTACCTAGTTTGGGTAATGAATTGTCTGCAAGAAAACAACCAAGCTCAGAGAGCACCAAGGGGCCCTCAATCTGGTTTGTGTCATACATTTTAGCCCACCAATCCTTCGGCAAAGTAAAATCCACCTGGATGCTGTATATGTTTAGTCTTGTCATTAACTTCCCAACAACGTTATTTTTGTGACCATATTCTGTGTTAAACTAATCTGAAGAATGGCGACTCCCTCATGGAAATAGAGTTACGCTTCATTAATGAAAAGGATTTGAATACTTTAAGGTCGTGGCTGATGCACAATTGCTTTATGGATAGAATGCAACTATGAATATAGTTAGGAAGAATGGAAGCCCACCTAGTTCAATTTGGATATCCCCATCTTCTCAATGCAACCTGCTGAGATTGCCACCGAATCCAACATCCCAATGGACTCAACAGGTGGCATCTTCTAGTTTCGTGTTCCTCAACCTTAGCAACTTTCAGTCATGTGGACTTCAATTTCCAGAATTCACCAGCTAGCCACACAAAGCTGAAGTCCCCATACCTTAAAGTTGCTAAGGGTGAGAAACACTGCCCTGGTTCCATTTTGTTGAAGTTCTTCATTAACCTTGTACCAAATCTGGCCTAATTGTCGACTTGATAAGATCAATTATGGAATTGGAAAATCCACAGCTTCCTACAGATTTTATATCTTCCATTCATTGGCATTTCTCATCCTGCTTTGTGATAGCTAAACACATATTGTGTGTGTGTGTGTGTGTGTGTGTATAAACATTTCCCCCCTATAATCACACCCTCTTTCCATTTTTAAATAACATTACTAATCTTGCAGAATTTATTTTCTTTGAACTAATATACATTCCCTACCTTGGACATACGCATACTTTTCAGTGAAGCTAAATCTTACAGCAAAATGTGCCAAAAAGGAAAATCATTTTAATTAAAATTAGGAAAATTCAGTAGAAAGTTATCGCTTAGAACAGGGATCCCCAACCCTCAGTCCAGGCTACAGCATGCCACAAAGTGGTGGCATCTGTGCAAACAAGTGAAGCCCCACCCATGGAATGCAGGCAGCACACAAAACCACCAGTCCATGTAAAATCCTTTCCTCATGGAAGCAGTTCTTGGTGCCCAAAAGGTTGGGAGCTGCTGGCTTAGAATGTAGCGTATTTGATAATGTCACCATTCCAACTAACCAACTCCAAACCAATAAACTCAGACAGGCATTTTTTCAAAGGTCCATTTTGTCACTTTGGCACACCTGGGAAAAAACCCGAATCTGAGAATTCCTGGTTTTCCCTTCCCAAAAGAAATTCACAGATTCATCCCCTGCACCCACCAGTCCATCACATGGCTCATCCAAATCTTTGTCCCAACTGGAGACTTTCCTCCAGACCCTCTTCTCCAAGTGCAGGGAACTTGTCCTTGACTCTCTGAGAAAAAATGTTGTTGAGTCTAATCTTCCATCTCTCTATGAAATTCCCCCTCCCAAATTCTCAGGAGTATTGCAGCCTCAAAGCTTCTAAGTGAAATATGGCTTCCAAGACTGACAGATAAGCTGGGCAGAATATTGAAGAGAGGAGAAAAGTAAGATCTACAGGATAGGGTCAAAAAAAGTTTTAAAAAATGGTGGCCACGTGTCACATAAAAAAATGGGTGGAGCTTCAACTACGTTACCACAGTCAACTTCTTTTAGCCATATCCTGTAGACCCCTGCTGTCCAAACATCTGTGCTTATTTAGGCAGCATTTTTTTTTTCTTTTCCTAAGTAGTTTTTTACATCTTTGCAGCCTCTT